TATGGTTGCAAATTTATTTTTCCAACAAGTAATATTGTTCATAATACCACTGTCCTATAAGGAAAGGAACAAGGAAGTGACATGTTCACTTTAACATTTTAAATTATAGTTTTAAAAAGAATAACAGAAAGAAACAAGTGGCTGAAGTCTAAATACTATATGGCGAAGACAGCTAATTGGTAAGAAAGTAATTTTTATTTCCAGTTTTTAATGGGTAATAAAAACAACTGAGAGGTAGGAAAAATAATATTATACAATAGGTGGTGGCAGTTTCCTCTGAAGTAATCACGCATTAAAGTATAAAGTTGTACATAGCTGGTAGAAGTGTGCTGCTTCTCAGATACTCAATTGGTTAAAAGCAAACAAGCTAGTATAAAGTGGTCGAGTACAAAGATGTCATTTTCTTCTCCCATCAAATTAAAGAGGGTTGTAAAGTTTTTGTGTGTGACACAAACAGTGGTGTGCTTTACCTACTGTCGGCTTGGATCACTGTGATAGGACTTGCTGGTAAATATCACTTGCATCATGGATTTAAAGAGGTATCACCTCTTTTTTATTTGGCTGGAAGATAATAATCAGCAGACAAGTGTCTCCTGATACTCATAGGAGGGAGCAAAACAGGAGATCAAATGCTTCTTACTCCCTACAAATAACTGTCTGCAAATGCATGGGTCTGTCAGGATTCCAGAAGATAGTGAACATTTCTCAGCTGGTGAAGCACTGCCTCTTTGACTCTGATGTCTGCATCTTATCATAGTGTGCAAATTATTTAGCAACTGCCACATTATTTATAGGTAAGAATTGAACAAATTAATCTCATAAATAATTCATTTGGGGTCTGTGAATTAGCAGGGCACCACAATAGAATAAAAATCTACTTTTACAAAGCTGATATCAATTGTCATTGTGAGTTAGATTCAATCTTTTTCAAACAATACTTTTAGCATACTGCATGGGGCCTTTTAAGGTTTAGAACCAAGACTGCACAGAGTAAGGTGAATACAAGTATCTAGACAACATGTTGGAGTGCTCCAAAAATAATAAAAGGAATATAAGTGGGGAATTCTGGTGTGAATTACCCAGATAATTGCTGTAGTTTTCCAATTCACTTTGAGTGTATAGCTTTTTTAAAAAAAATGTCTTTTTCCTTAATGAGAGTTCTGAGAGTTCTGAAATATACAGACTCATAAGATCAAATAGTTTGATAGGGAAGAGAGTAGGTCTTGTCCTAACAGAGCCGCAGGCTTTTAAACTATTTCATCCATCAAAAAACCGAGAATCAGACTTAGATACCCCAAAATTCATTTTTAAAACTGGAAACAGAAGCAAAAATTTTACTTTCCTACAGTGAGACATAAGAATGTCACTGTGGACCTGAGAAAAAGACAGTCGCAAGTTTGTTTGCTAGTAGACTCCTAGGGAGCTGAACAAAAAATCCAATAAATAATTAGCTCTCCTGTGACAGGCTTCTGAATTACTGTGATACATTAATTGGACAAAATTAGCATGAATTAAGGCAAATAACTATAACATGTAATTTATTACTTACTAAGCATGGTGCTGCAGTGGAAGCTTCGGATTTCCCTTAAGATTGCTTTAACAGCTATAATGCATTCCTTAATTTACTCTGTGGAAAATCAATTTTTTCAGAGTTCATTAAGCACCAATATGTTACAATGCAACTCTCTAGAGCATAAAGCTTCAATACATTATGCAAATCCATGCCAGTGTGGTACCAATATGTAAATAGCAGTAATGTTATTGTCAGTTTCCTATTGATAAGTCTGACCAGAATGAGAATACCTAGAACTTGAATCTGTTGACTTATTTTGTGTGGGTTGGGGCTGTTGCATACTGTTCTTTGCTAAATATAATGCCAATATTTCTTGCAAGGTATAGCAAGGCTTTCATCAATGACTGGAAGCAGTGTCATTTCCATTTAATTCCATGCCTTGTTGTCTATGCTAACCAACCAATCAACAAGTGTTTATTAAGTATATATTATGGGTGCAGTGGAGTCCCTTCTGAATTTTAACTGATATACTAGGCGTTATATACCTAATTTGAGCCAGAGAAATAATTTAGGTCATCAAAGCTGCAATTTCATGGAAATACATCTCAATTCTCCATTTCACTTGGCATCAATCGACCTAGGTCGTATTAACAAAAAATTAATAAGTGGTTCAACTGAAAATGATTTTATAAAAAGTAATATGTTCAAGAAAAGCATAATTGAAGCAATTTGTCTTTAAGATTTGGTAGAAAGAATGATTATTATAAAAAATTAATATCCACCATCTCTGATTTTTCAAAAGCTGATGATTTTGTTTTTCTAATCAATAGCAATTCTGTAATCCTTTATGATTTTGTTGATGTTTCTTTTAGGTTCTAATTTATTTTTCACTATTTTTTTCTCTCAGTTATTGGTAGCATTAAAAAATTGGTTAAGTCTCAATGTCCAGAAATAATAGAATGTTATGGACTGAATTATATCTCCCCAGATTCATATGTTGAAGCTCTAATCCCCAGTGTGAGTGTATTTGGGATAGGGTTTTTGGGAGGTAATTAGGCGTAGATGAGAACATGACGGTGAGGACATCATGATGGAGTTAGTGCTTTTATTAGAAGAGACACCAGAAACATGCTCACACACACTCTCTCCACCATATGAAGATACTTATCTCGATGTCAGGAAGTGAACATTTGCCAGAACCCAACCATGCAGGCACCCTGATCTCAAACTTCCAGCCTCCAGAACTGTGAGGAAAACATTTGTGTTGTTTAAGCCATCCACTTTACGGTATTTTGTTAAGGCAAACTAAGCTTGCTAAGACATTGGGTAACAGTTGGAATAATGTAATTGTGTCCAATTTGGTTGGTTGAATAGAAAAATTATGTTGATTTATAAAATATTAGGTAGAGTATGATTCATTTTTTCCGTTCCAAAATACTACATATATCTGTCTCTTTACGGGGGATGCAGGATATATATCTAGAAGTTGCCTGCAATAAATACTTTCATTTCCTATAATGAACCTGCATTGAGATAACAGCTGAATATTATTTAAATGAAAAGGCATTATATAGGACCATATGGAATGCTTTTTCCCTACTGATTCTATTTCTTCTTTCTTCCCTGTTTACTAGGTTCTAGCCACACTCTCCTCTTTGGTCTTTCCTGGAACGTGGCATGCAAGCTCACAGATTGCGGACTCTGCACTTGCTGTTCTCTCTGCCTGGAGTTTTGACTCCAGATAGACTCCTGCCAACTCCTTCACCTTGTCCAGGTTACCTTCATTAAATGTCACCTTAAATGTGTGCCTACTCTTTCTCCTACCTAGAATTGCAAGCACCTCTCACCACTGTGTTCCCATTCTCTTTAACTTGAGCCACTTTTATTCTCATAACAAAGCCACGTATTTTTTCTTATTATAACATAACCATACTATACAATTTATGTGTTATTTTTGTTTGTTTACTTATTGTATGTTTCTGTTCACAAGGATGTAACTTCCATGAATATAGAGATCTTTGATTGTTTTATTCACTGACCTATACCAAATATCTGGAACAGTGCCTGGCACATAGTAGATGTTTGACAAATATTTTTTTTCTGAATGAATAAATACATTTTAGCCAAATATGTTTGTTTGGTTGTATTTATGTGGATGTGCAAGTATGTGCACAAAAAGAAAGAAATTAGTTAATACCAAATCTATAAAATGGGAAAATTAATGCTTATCTTATAGTGTTGTTATGAAACTCAACTAATATATATGAAGTGTTTAGCATGAGATGTGCAGCATAGTAAGCATTCAATAAATGGCATTTTGTTTTATTTACCATCTGGTTGCCTATTGTTGAAGGTATGCTCTTCAATGTACAAATTAAGATGTCTTATTTCTTCCATATATCAATTATAGTCTATTTTGTTCCTTCTAGATAATACCCTTTGATGGATATTTAAGCTGTGCCAACTTTTTACTAATAAAAATATTAACATTCTGTTGTTCCAGTTATTTTTTCATATGTTTGCTTGTTCTTTTCCTTTATAGCACTTAATTTGAAATTATACATTTATTAAACTGTGAATTTTTTAAATGCTTGCTTTCATACTACACTATAATTTCGGTGAAGGCAGGTACTCACATGACTTAGTCATCTTTTATATTTGGAACCTGGTACAGTGTGCTTGTCACATAGTAGGTAATATATATGAAATGAAAGAAACACCAAAGACATGAAAATGAATAGAAATGATAAAGCAAAAATGAAAGGAACCCATCAAGAAATTTGAAAATGGAAAAAATTGCTGAAAATTGTTTTTATGGAATGACAATGTGATCAATCCCTCTCTCTCTCTCTGTCTATACACATACACACACACACATCAAATAGTGTGATGTATATGTATATACATAATATATACATGATGTGCATATATTTTTTATGTACATCAAATAGTTTTTCCACTAAAGAGTGGGACTTTCTTGTTTTTAGCCAAACTCACTCAATTTGTGTGACATAAAAAGACTCAAACTCAATATAGTCGATTGGAGTGCTATCAGTATTTTCTATACTGTAAATCACTACCTGACTCAATTATACTGATGGTGATTAGCTACTTGATTATACAGAAATTGGTCATAATAATGGGCACAAAAAATTAATGTTTATAGGCACCAAAAAAGATATTTTTTGTGGGGAAAATACCCTGGATTTTTCCATATTTTCTTCAATAAAAAAGTCCTTTTGTCAGTTTTGGTAAATGAGTATGACAGTGAGCATGGATAAGTGTTCTATACTTTTTCTAATGAAAAATTGGGCTGAGGATTGCAATACTGCTGTTTCTCAGCTTGACAGGGTTCATTAGTGTATGCCACAATTTTATCTAGAAATGAAAGTTTGGGAATGAGAGAAATTTTGATGCTTCAGCATTTATGTAATTTTTGTTTTATTGGTTTTTAAAATGGAAATACAGTGCAAATTATACAGAGAGTAAAACTAATGAGAATTAGATGAAAAAAATTGTCTCATAATTCAAAAAATTGGAAATGGGGGAAAGAGTCCAATAAACTACTAAAGTAAATGTTAAAAAAATTGCTTCTAAATTCTACACGATTTAATTGTCACGAAGAAATCAGTACAATGTTATTTCCATGCCTAGGAGACATCATGTTTTCATCACTGAATTCTTAGCACCTAGAGCAGAATGAAAAAGGAGTCAGTCAGGAAGTTGGCTAGAGAACTAGTCTTTCGAGTATGTCAAAACATTATCGAGGCATCAAATGTCTCTGGAAACATAACAAGATGGTGAAAATGGTGTTTCCTTATTTTCTCTCAGGAAGAATATTCTATGAAGCAGAGAGAAATATTTTGTTTTAGCCTAGAGGGTGTAATAAAATATGGCGGCTTCTCAGGTGGTGGGTGCAGTTCTCCGAGGGGCTTTGGTTTTGCTGAATACTGTTTTGATTTATAAGACCAAGCTGATTAACCTGGACTAAAAGGAGATACTAAGCTCTGTATTAGTCTAACTACCCAGAGCAGTGGGCCCTTTCCCCTTTCCATCATGAAATTCTTAGGCACTATCCTAAATCATCGAAAATAAATATTTAGAGAGTATCACTTTTAAAGGATACCCTAGTGATCACACCTTGCTCTAAGATCCTACTGTTTTCATAGTTCTTTTGTCCATATAACACGTAAACATTGTTAAATTCTTTTCTGTATAGTACCATCACACTGGAATGACTGAGAAAGAGTTCAAGCCTCTGGGAAAAAAATCAGATGAAAAAGAGGTTGGGTGGAAATACATTTGTTTGTGAACGTTTGATTCTATGACTTCATGGCTTCATCTGGACACAGATCGTGCGGGGAAATTCTGACACCTCTGGAAGGCTTAGAACACAGCTAATGAAATTTTGACAACAAGTGTCTATAAATATGTATTTTACAAGTAGATTTTGTGAATGTTTTTGATAAACACATATGATAGTAAAGTTGACAAAGCATGACTCAACAGGTATTTATGGGGCACAGTGTTATGATATATTGTATCAGATTTCAGATTAATATGGAGTAGCTAGAAATGAATTTACATGATAAAATAGAGCATTTACTGCCTATAAAGGATATGAAATGGTAACCCAATTTGTACTGCAGACGTTTATGTGACTTTTATTACAGGTACTTTGGTTGTTTCTATTTGCTTGATAGTTATTTTTTAGGGTTTTTGTAATATTCATTTTAAACATCAATACTCCAAGATTATATTAAAATCTAAGTATCTGGTAAATAACATATATTGTGGAAGATTACATTGTGAATGAGAACATTTTCTGACAGTGAAATAGCTATGAAATCTTTTTATGATCTGTCATCCAAATAGTATTATCAGAATGAGAGCTTTTAAAGATGTCTAATTTCTCAAACACTCTCCCAGTGATTTCATCTTTTATATTATGTAACTATGTGTTCTAAAATCGCTTTCAATAATAGAATCTCTTGGTCTGAGGTTAATAACCATATATACTGTTTGTTTACTTATGTGTTTAATAATAATGTCATATTTTCATAGAAATTTTAATGTGCTTTCACATCCATTATGACATTCTGAGCTTACAATAGCCATACAAATAAATCATCTTTTAGTTGAAAGCACTTGATATAGGCCTTTTTTAGGTAAACATTGAGTCAAAAGTCTGGGTTCAAATCAGTCTTTGCTTTCTGCCTATACATGAGACTTATGAGAGTAGCTAACATTTAATAAGCATATGCAATTGTCAACCATTATGCTTTACATGCTTTATTTAATGATCCTTGGCATGGGCACCTTTATAATTTCTTTTTTATGGGTTAGAACATTGAGGCTAAAGGAGATTAAGTAATTTGCCCAAGGTTACACAGCTTGTAAATGACAGAGCTAGAAATAGAACCCTTGCCTTTTTGAACCCAAAGCCTAACTTTAATTGCAACACTAGACTGCACCTCTTTAAACCATGGTGACGAGGGACACAGCTTCCACAGAAGAATGCTTTGCTGTTGGTGATTCTGCCTACATGAAATGTAAATTGTGCACTTTATGAAGCCACTTTGGGAGCTTAACATGAAGTTTCTTTTTTATAGCCATCACTTACCTTCGCATAAAGATTTGCCATAGGATTTGTCACTGTTGCCATTCTAACACTTCCCAATCAAATAGAAAACAAAAGTCCTAAAAAGAGAATGTTGATCAAAATACTTTTCAGTTTCTCAGTCTTGATGTTACTGGTTTTTTTTGTTTTTGTTTTTGTTTTTTCCTTCTGGAGGTTGTATTTTGTTCTAGTGATAAAAGTCAGATTCAGAAGCATTTTATCAAAGTGTGATGAGACAGAGGAGTTCTAGAGTTAACCAAGTAGGGCAGCTCAAGGAAGCATAGCATGAGGGAAACATTCAAAGAGGTTGAGTGAAGAGCCGTGAAGGGCCCTGAAGACAGAGCCAACTGTCAATCTGAATGGAAAACAATAAAAAATACCAAGACTGGAGGAAGGCTGTGGAAGAAGGGCTTGGATGAGCAATTAGATCTAAGATAGTAGATGACACCAGCACATACATTTGTATACATCATAGGAGAAAACCCCTGAGCTTAGGGTACTTAGTATTTTATAATGATAGGTATGCCAACCTTTGCTCTGGAGGGAGACATTATATTGAATTTGCTGGACAATAAGTATTCCTGGAGGGAGATATCTCTATCTTCCTAGGCTGTTTGCTAAACAAACATCTTTCAAAGAACTAAGGCAACAAGTGCCTTACTTCCAGGATAAGCAGATGCTTGTGTGACTGATAAAGATTTGTATTCCATTAATATCCACACCTTATTTCTATACTGTCTTGACATCTGGCAAGTTTTCCCAAGGGAATACACTCCATTGTCAACTCTCGTTGTGTCACTGATCACTTTAGCTAAACTCAAGTACAAGTTCTATACTACCTTTTGTAAGTGGATAACTTCCATCTAGGGATAACAGCCCACGGGACGTAAAACAGTCATTGCTCCTGGAAGCATCCCTAGCTTTACAGAGATTCCTACAGTTATCTGAGGTTTTCTTGATCCATTGGTGGTATTTCCTTAAACACTTGAAGGTCTCTTATGAATACCTCTAATGTATATGTCACTGTGTTTTCAGGAGGGAAATAAGTTCATGACTGAGTTTTATGTAAGAAGTCCATTTCTGAAGATGTCATAGTGCCATGGAGATAATGGTATTTACAATTATTGGGGCTCTCGAGTGGTACCTACACCAGTTGGAGGGTACAGGTTGACAAAGCCTCCAGGTCAGCTGGTCAGTATTAGTTGTCCCAATTTTGTTCAAATGGTTGGGACTAGTCTTTGTGTTTGGAGAGGGGTCCAGTCTAATCTGTTCTGTTTGTCCTTGTCACCTGACTGCTGACATTTTCTGCTCCATGAAATGATTAAGCCTTGACAAATGGTAAATGGCAAATTGATAACTGAGGGTGTTGAAAGATGATTTGTATGTGAGGGGAAGAAGGTAGGACCCTTTATACTCTTTCTGATGAACTTCTCTGTAAGTTTGAGGGAGTAATGTTCAAATCATGGTAGGAGCAGTCTGGTAGGAATGGCAGACCCAGAAAGTCAGTTTAATAGAAGGCTCTTGCAACAGTTTGGGAGATATGCATCAGGGTGTTTTCATTTAAGAGGATGCCTCCAGAGTGGCTCTGACAAACAGCTTGTCTCAATGTCCCTATATTTCCCCTAAGATTTTTATTTATTGCTAAGATTGTTGCTCTTCCTTCACTGCCACGAAATCAGCATTTCCCATTCACTGAGCAATTATGCCATTTATCTTCAGTAATCTTCTATTTCCATCCAAATCCTTCATTTGGGAGTATCAAATACTATACAATAGTGCATTTTTATAAAACTCACAGAGACACATTATGCTGCCTACTTTTGCCCAGGTGGGCTACTATAGCAGATTTGGCTAGGAGCATGCTTATGCAAACATTCATTATTCTCATAATCTAGGACTACACACATATAACCAATAAGATAATCCAGATGACTGACCATAATTGAATTTGAGTCCCCTAGGCCCCCTTTTAACCATGCTGATGTTCAGACAGTATAGCAACCAGTCCTGCTTGAGGTTACAGTTTGGGGAAAGAAAGATACACCATGTTCATGAATGGGAAAAGCAAAATGCCAATATTTCAAAATAAATCTATATAGCTCCCCAACCTCTTTGACCTGCATATTACCCATAGAGAGGTGAGAAAAACAGATCTCTTTGTGGAGACAATTGCCTTCAATGACCAAACCACCTTGCTAACATTGTTGACCAGAAGGAGGTATGGAAGGTAGAGTCAGAAATATTTTTGGCTTAATTTTTAAGGAAGTATTTCCAGTGCTCAATAATGTCAGATACCTGTGGATGCATGGAAGGTCTATCAAATATCTAGACTATAAGCCCAGTATGGAGTGGCTTTTCCAATAAAGGCTGAAACATTGTCATAATGGAAATTTTTTGAAAAGCCAAATATATGACACAGAAAATGTGAAGGACCATAATGTTATAGCCAGAGTCAGTGGATGTGACAAGTATATCAACACTGTAACCTGTGAACAGCCCCAAAAAGTAGTCAAAATTCTGATGTAGTTAATCTGCTAGGAGTGAGAGGCAGCAATGCCCCTTGTAATGTGTCCTATCTCTATGAGATAAACAGGTCAACTTTTGGTGGGAGTCACAAGTCTGGCATGTATTAGGCAACATAGAGTCCTTTACTTTGTGGTTGGCTTGCAATTGCAGATGTGTTTCCATGTCCATTAAGATAAGGGGTTCAGGCAACAATCATGGCAATCTGAGTGGTTCTTACCTACATGGAACAGGCTATCTCAGCTGCTTGGCTCCAGTTGGTCTCAACAAAAGCTAACACTTACTAAGGCATGTACATGAGTCACCAAGACAGTTTAATGAAAAGCCATGGTTGGTTTCCACAGTTTACAATTCTGAAGAGCAGTGTCTTAAATCTGCTAGTCTGCAGTTTTCCAAGTGGCAGGCCAAATATCTAGCCTATTGGTAATAACCCAGGGGTTAGAAAAAATATACCAAGATTCATCAAGTAAAACAGAGCTTTGAGTTCTGTCCATTGAGCAGGAAGACCAAATCTATTCTGGTTCTGCTGTAGATGGTTCTGGGTTGGGCAGCCACAGCAGCCCAGTGGACAACATCGTAATTCAATTTAGTCAAACTATCAGTGAACCAGATGTAGACATTTAGGGCAATCTCTGTGAATCAAAAACCACGTTGAGTCAGCAACTCTGCTTTAAATGGGTTGAAGAGTGGAAAAACCTTCCCCCAAAGGAAAGGCTGCCTCTGTTTCATATAAAGCTGAGATACCATGACTCTGTTCTTGGCTATTTCATTTCCATTTAACAAGGAAGATCTGTTAGGTGTTTCCTGCCTTTTATTATTGAAGCCAAGTTATTGAGCCCAAGTTGATGCACCAATATTATGTCAAAGAGTTGCAAGGCCTTCTTGGGTCAAGTGTTCAATGTGGTAAGAACCTAGCATTAAGTATTATATGGTTTTCAACAGGATGTACTTGCTAGTCATGTCAGGAAGGTGTTGCAGGTGGAGGTTGACACCCTTTGCCAGAGGCTCCCATTGGCCAAATTATTGGCCACAGAAACTTAAAGCACAAAAGGATGAGGAGATCACTGGGGCTCCAGAGATACCAGCACTTCTCTACCTATAGCTCTTCCTAATCAGAAGAATCTCCACTGGCACTTTTGGGATGAAGAAATACAAGCATATAACATGTCAATTTCTACTGTGCATTCAGATGTTAAAAAAAAAAAAACAACAACATTGAATTGAATCAAATGGCTCCACCCAGTGTCATACTAGCTTTCCTTCACCTCTGTGAAGCTTATCCAAACCCCCTTAGCTCATGAGTCATGCAGAAAAGGGATGCCCATGAGAAACTTTCTCCTACTTCCTGGTATTTTCCAAATGCATTGTCAACCTTTATGCTTATTGTTCGTGAAATTCCCTCTGCCTGATCTATCCCTCTGATCCCTCTCTATCTGTCCATATTTGTCTCTTTTAGAGTGCAGTATTCTCTGAAAAGCGTTTGCTAACCATGCCCATCGGGCTGCACATATGTGCTTTTCCTTCAAGGCTTCCATCGCCTATTTCTGTTATGGTAAGCATCGCACTGTGTTATCACTGTTTGTTTACATGTATCTCTATGCAGCTAATCTGTGATGTTCTCAGGGCATGGTCCCTGTCTTGTTCATCTTTCTATCTTGGTGTCTGGTGCCATGCTTGTTTACTGAGCACTCACTCTTCTGAGTGATGTGCTGAGTATTGAGAAATAAGCTAGCTCTCCTGTTGGAGTACCATGTTATTTACTTTCCATTACTTTTTGACATTTAAAAAATCTTACTTCTGTTCTGTTATTAAAGTTAAATACATTTCCTTATCAAAGTTGAATATAATAAAATAATAGTACTAAGAAAACAGTTATGGCTTATAGATTAGACTGTTGATATGATATGGAAAGTTAACAGGTTTCAAGTTAGTTGGCTTAAAATCATACCTATTTCAAACTTCATTTGGCTACAAGAAGGTCTGATGGGCAAATTAATAGCTATAATATTATATAAACACTCAGAGCATTTATGGTATTGTAAGCAGCAAATATTAGTGCTTAGCTGAAAAAAAAAAAATCAGACCAGCCTCAGATTGTTTCCTGTTTCTAGGAACTACTAGCTGTAGTTAAGCTATCTATATTTTTTCTGTTTAGTTTTTCCTCTGTAGAGTAAAAACAGCTATTTCAGAACATCACTAGAAGAAATTAAATAAGACAATGCTTGTAAAGAGCATAGAATAATGCCTGGAAACAATACCTGCCCAATAAACTACAAAGCAAGGGATTGATTTAGGATAGGACTCCTGGAAAAACGGATACTAATTACATAACATTTGTTTTAATGGACACTAATGATTTTTGTATATTTGTATTTGTATATTTTGTACTTTATGTTTTATTGTATACTTTCTCTTTTGATTTTAAAACACAACTGTGAGACAAGCAATGAAAGTATTGATATCTTAACAATTGAGGTAACAAGGTCCCAGAAAAAGTGACCAATTCATTGTCACACAACTTGTTACGGACTGAGTCAAGACATTTAGCTAGAATATTTTATGTCATTGTCTGATATCTATTGCACATGAGCATCAAATCTTCATCTGTTCATGTTTCAACCAGAATAAGGCTCAGAACCTGCTCAAGGTAAGTACATTACCTACAAACAACTTATAAGATGTTAAGATAAAATGAATTATCAGCAACTATCTCAATATGTATAAAAATTTCAACCAGATTTTTAGCTCAGTTTAAAATATACAGCAAATTACAAATAACTGCAGTAAAATTCATAAATATGTGTTGAATTTTAATGGCACCAAATTATTTTTGGAAATTGGCAGATTGTACATTGTGAATGTAAAAATAATTTTTAAAAAATCAGCATCTTCTTACCAGGAGCTTATGATGTTTTACTAACTTTGCTTGGTGTTTATCTCAGTCTACCTTCAATCTCCCTTTGTTTGTGGTTTGTCATCTTCTAAAGGGCTCTGTGCTGTCGTTTCTCCTTCTAACTTCGCTGCTGCTTCTCTTGGGAAAGATTCAGTCTGTGTTGCTTTGCATGTTTCAGAGGCTTATAGACTTCCTTTAGCAGTAACTCAATATTTGCTTGTTATTACTAGGGTTTACTGTCCTTTCTGCAAATGCCTATACCCTCCTGAATCACTATTTTCTAGTGGGATTTGTTTTCACATTAAAATATGTTTTTTGCTTTCTTCCCAAACAGGATCCCATGGTAGATACTTCTCCTTCACATGTTTAACTACTTTGGCTCTCTCAAAGCCACATATCCACTTGGTATTTGCATAGACTCCAATGGCCGACACAGCCTACTTTTACTGTTTCTACAGCATGGGAGAGACTTTCATCCACCCTTCGCTCAGGAAATCCTCTATTTTGAGCTGGAAAAAAAAATGCTGCTGAGCAAAACCACCAGAGTAGGTTCTTTTTAGGAAATAGGAAAACTGTGCTTGTTGGATATTTCCTTAAACTAAACAAGGCCATATATGAAAATTTGTGGCAATATGCCTAATTTCTTCTACTTTCAATTCTTCACCATACATTATTTGTGGTTTAAAATAAATATACAAATACAAATTCATTTTTTAAGAATTTTTGTTAGAGGTGAGACAGAACAAAATGAGAGATTTGTCATAAATAAAATGTCTTGCTAGGATGGTATGGTAGCTCTGAGTTGAAAGATGCCATAAATATTAATATTTGTTATTGACATAAATATTCAATATGTTTTTGTTCAACAGTAGGCATATATTTGTGAAATTCAATGGGGGCCACTTTAGTCTTAAAAGTAGAGAAGGGAGATCACTTGATGGCTTCTCTACAGACCTCTTCCACCATTCCCCATTAAATTAAGAGAAGAGAAAAGGAGAAATGCATAACTTGAGAAGGGAGCCTGGAATGTTTGCATCTTCTCAAAGAGTACAGTAATTCAGATCAACAAAGTAGGTTTATTTTATTTGGCCTTCACAGGTTCCTTTTCAAAAATTTTGGCTTATCTTCAAAGGATTGTTTTAATAGTTTAAAAGTTCAAACTCTCACACCTTAAACAAATAAAACATTGAAGTTACTGTTTGCCACAAAAATGGTTTTAGGAAAAACTAATCTAACTAAAAATTGGCACTGAGTGCAGAAAGTTCCATCACCTCAAGCAAAGCGTGCAGAGGGACTGGGTGGTGTAGAGCAGGAAAGGGTGGAACTCTGACAACTCCAGAAAATACACTAGTCTCCATTATCTGTGGTTTTGCTTTCTGCAGTTTCAGTAACCTGTGATCTAACGTGGTCTGAAAATAGGTGAGTATAGCACAGCAAAAGGTATTTTGAGAGACAGACCATATGCACATAACTTTTACTAAAGTATATAGTTATAATTGCTCTATGTTATTATTATTGTTAATCTATTAATGTGCCTAATTTATGAAATAAACTTCATTTTAGGTATGTGTGTATAGGAAAAAACAGACTATATAGGGTTTGGTATTATCTAGGGCTGCAGGCATCCATTGTGGGGGCTTGGAAAGTGTTACCCATGGATAAAGAGAGAATACTGTATCCCTTCCTTATCTTCACAAGTGCTGGGCCAAAATCTGGTATACTACTTTCTCCAAGCATTCTCCAGAGTCTCCCTATTTGAGAGCCTGGCATTCCGTTAATCCCCTTTGCCATAACCACGCTCTGAATATACTTGATTAGGGTCAGCTTTTCTCTGCCTCCCCTCCCTCCCTCTTTTCTTCCCTTCTCTTCCTTTTCCTTTCCTTCCTTTTTTCTTTCTCATCTCCCTCTCTTTCTTATTTGTCAATATCACATCCTTATCATCTTAAACATAAAATTCATGTGTTATTAGAATAAAGGAACTGTTGGGACAATGTTTCCCTACTTCACGATTTTTTTGGTCTTATATTGCTTTGCATGATATTTCTGAATGATATGATATTCATTAGAAAAGCAGCTAAAACATGTACTTCTTTGGAAGTAGGATGGGGAATCATCTAGTGTCACCTGTTATGTCTTTTTGTCCAGTGATAGTTCATTAGCCCAGGAACAAAGATTTTCCATTTATCATAATATTGGCAGAACAACTATGTGAGAGACTGTGCAGATGGTTTTCAGGAAATTCATTGGCTGCATAACTGATTAGTGTCAGGGTATTGCCTATGACTTACCCTTTTTGCCACTTCACACTTGGTGACTTATACCACGGAGGCTGATTCTTAGTGCTGACAACACTGAGGTCAAGAGCAGCCAGCCTCTTTGTCCCCAGGTGCTCACCATACAAAATCTAAATTTGGGTCCTTTCTTGAAAGTCTAGCACCACAGGGCACATGGGTCCCACATGACTATGAAGGGTGGAGCTGAGCAATAGTGCTCCTTTAGATAGGACATTTGTTCATCCATTCATTGGAGGCCAGCCACCATGTTCATTCACATGTTCTGACTAGCCCCTGTAGGCATTCGAGTTTGACACAATTGAAAGACAAGCTCATCTCATGTTAGTAATCATGTTTTTAAAAAAAATTCATGAAGAATAACAGACATAAGGTGTGCACACATTAGTGTACACCTCACTAAATTTTTGCACACCCACATAATCAGCATCAGGATTAAGAAATAAAATGTTATGAGCATCTTTGATGTTCTTGTGTGTCCTTCCAGTGACTGCTCACCCCCAACAACAGCATCCTGATGTCTCATTGGGGCTGGTTTTGACGGCATTTCTGAAATGTTTACTAACTCTTTAAGTATATGCTGCTTCATTTGATCCTTACAACACCACTGGGAGATTGGTAGGTCTAGGTAGTCAATCAGGTAAACAATATCACTTTATTCAATACAATTTTTCACTGCTTTCATGACGACATTTGGGCAGGGTATTTTGTGAATAACCTAGACAAAATCCACCTGAATGTCTCCTAACTTATTGAAATAACTAAACTTGAGACATTATATGACAAATATAACCCAACCCACTGAGAGCACCTGTTATTTCCAGCAGTAGGAGACTCAACTGTTGCTGAACTTCTCTTTTTTCCCCCTGAGCCTTTATTCATGTTGCTTGTTTGAAGGGCTCCTGCTTGCCATTCCTATTCGAAGTAAAGAATCCAGTTGTTAGAACATTTGATGTGGCTTTATGCTTGACTCTCAAAGGTTCATATATTGGTGAGATATTGCAACGCCCATGAAAATACTTAAAGCATTATTGTTAGGCTTAGTGTGAGACATGTAATATTTCCATTTGGGGAATTTATTTTGAAGGAAATGGCTCATTAGACCAGAAAATGCCTATTTTGCTTTCATTTTATTTTTTAGAAAATGCCTGTGCATGTTTGCATAGCAGGTAGAGTTAAAAACCCAGTGTAGCAAGACTTCAGCTGTTTTTTCTTCCCTTTCAAAAACAATAACGGAAAGGGAAATTTATATATAATATACATAATTTACTCAGATTTAATGAATGCATACAATTTTGCATCCTCAAGTATTAATTATAGAGGAATTTCTGTAATTTATGATGCATTAGAATATTAATTTTTTTAAGAGACCTTTGCCAAAGCCAATGGCAACTGTAGCTCTCATTTATAATAATGGAGTAACTGCACTGCAACTTGACTTTTTAATTCTAATTACATAATTGGACAATAACATTTGACATACCCCCAAACATAATGAACTCATTAAAAGGCTTTTTATTTGTTATTTTACAGTGGTTTAAAATTACTACAATGTTTTAAACAAAATTTTAGCCATTATTTTTCTTAGTCTAACAAATAGTAGTAGAGTTGTTTCTTAAGTTATGCCACTGTATATATCCGAAGTACCTGAAAATATGTTGAATTACAGTGCTCTTCTGTTTAAAAACTTTGTAAACTTGCCTGGTATTGTGTCTCAAGAATTACTAGATTTTAAGTTTTTTATTTTAAAGTTTTGGGGCTACAAGTGGTTTTTGGTTACATGGATAAGTTTTTAGTGGTGATGTCTGAAATTTTGGGGCACTTGTCACCCAAGCAGTGTACGCTGTACCCAATATGTACTTTTTTATCCCTCACTCCCCTTCCACCTTCCCAAGCCCCCAAAATTCATTATATTATTCTTATGCCTTTGCATCCTTATAGCTTAGCTCCCACTTATAAGTGAGAACATACAATATTTGGCTTTCCATTTCTGAGTTACTTCACTTCGAATAATGGCCCATTTTTCTCTTTTACAAAAAGGAAAACCAAATTTTTTCAAGGTTGATTTAAAGAAATAGAGCCAGTTACTGAATAGTGGAAGCTGGATTTTATGGTCTTCTTTTGGGGGATTTTTCCATATTTATCCCTACTGTACTCATAACTCTAACTCTTATCCTAATTTTGTCCTGAGAAGAGGATGTAGTGTTGTTCCAGGAATTCCACTCTGATCCAACTGTGAACGTGTGATCTTTACCTTAATAACCTCCAGTGCAGTTGAAATCAGGCAGTCAGAACTTAATTAAAGGATAACAAGGTGGAAATACAATTTTAAAAATAGCATAAACCAGACTATTTGGCTTCTGGGGCAGAACGTAATTTCAGCTTGTATTTTCTGACAGGGATACCATAGCTCTTTTGTAGCTCCCTACATGCCTGTCCTTAAATAACGGAAGACATATTTGATTACTGCTTCGTGGAAACACCTTTAGGAACATCTAGAACTCTCAAAGTCAACAGAACAATCTAGAGGCAGAAATAAAGTTGCCTCTTTTTCTTTCGCATTTCTTGTCTAAAGACCTTTGTCTTGGTGATTGATTGACAAAGGACCGCTTAGGAGAAACCTCACCTTCCGTAGATGCAGGCTCATAACTTGCAGCTGCCACAGGAGAACTATTTAGTAATCTCGTCCCTACCCTCCACAAGCATACAGAATGTGCACATACGTAGAAGACGGTCCATGTTTTGTATTTTCGACCCATTTGGGAAATCCTTTCATTTCTACATCACAGTGAGATACCCATATTTCTTGCTATCTGCTGGCAGAAAGGGGAGGGATTTTGCCATAGTGAGGGGGGTAATTTTTTTTTTTTCAAGCCTGCATCAAGACAGACCAACTAAAGATCTTGACAAATGTTTGTATAGCTATGCAACATAGTCATCTTTTGTTCCTTCCAAACCACGGGACTTGACATGTTGCACGAATTTTCTCCCTTTTCTAAGGCTCTACTCTCTATTGAAGGTGTTTCCTGTACTCTCTGCCCCATGGGAGATGGGGATTTTTCTGTGATCAGGTTTTTGTCAGCTTTGGACTGAGTGCAGGGTAAGCTCTGCTTCCTTAAAAACAGTATTAATTAACTCTTTTAACTGCCATTTATATATACCAAACTTAACCACGTTAAGGAAGAAGGAATTGTTTTATGTAGCCAGGAAAGATACTAAGATAGTTGTTCTTTTAAAGACTGATAGAGTTAACTATCATCTTGAATTATTGTCTCCATAGTCTCCACATGGCCAGGGACAGTGCAGGTGGAGGTAATTGAATCATAGGGGCGGTTTCCCCGTGCTGTTCCAGCTGGGGGGAACCGCCCCTATGATAATGAGTGAGTTCTCGAGAGTTCTGATGGAGCTGTTTTATAAGGGGCTCTTCCCCCTTCACTCGGTACTCTTTTTCCTGCTGCTCCGTGAGGAGGGTGCCTTGCTTCCCCTTCTCCTTTCTCCGTGGTTCTACGTTTCCTGAGACCTTCCCAGCCATGCTGAACAGTGAGTCAATTAAACCTCTTTTCTCTATAAAGTGTCCAGTCTTGGATATTTCCTTATAACAACAGGAAAATGTACTAATACAAAGAATATTCAATAAGGACTGGAACCAGTAATCCAGTACTACGTGATCTAACCTTGTACTGTTCATCTCCCATTTCTGCAGCTCTCTGCTTGGTTGCACTCTCTATGCAGTCTCTCTCTGCTCCTGGTAAAAAAAGATTTTTATTTGCCTCAGTTTTCACTTACTCTAGGCCAGTACTGACAATTTTGCTTGTCATGGCCTACGTCTTGGAACAATCACTGCTGAGGGTCAGTTCCAAATACTTGGGAGAAGGTCTGGAACCAGAAAAAGAAGGGGAAGGTGAGGAATTTTGCTGGCCCTCAAAAAACCAGAAAGAAAGAAAAGAAAATCTATAATAACTTTTCAGAAAGCAAAACCAAAATTCACTACAATGGAAGCTAAATATTTGTTCCCCTGAAGACTGATTTGATTCCCACTTTCACCTTTCCCCCAAGTGCTTTAACTTCAAAACTGATTAATTGCTTAAAATAGCTAGTTTACCAACACAGTAGGAGCAAAACAAATGAATAAAAATGAACATAGACTGGCTATTTCTATCTGGGAGAAATGGAAGAAATCACTTATTTTGACCAACTTAATTGCTATAGATAGTAACATGATTCATTTGATGGTAATATTGAGTTAGGATTGAGTAAGAAGGTGGCCTAAATATAGAGAATAATCATGCTGTGACCCAGCTCACCTGTGTTGTGGAGTGTATGCTACTTTATCTGGGGCAAGGGATCTTCAGGTGTTGTAGTTTTATGATTTAATCTAGGAGAAAGGGACCTCCAGGTGGTATACTTTTATGCATTTAATCTGGGGGAAAGGGATCCACAGGTGGTATACCTTTCCATCAGGTTCAAGCATTCAAGCATGCAGGAGACAACCTTCCCGTCAAAATTTGTTGCTGATAATCAAAGGAAACAGATATACTTCTGACTTCTTTTGTGATATCCCTAGAGAGCTGTCGCTATTGACATATACTATTTTTATTAAACCTCAACCGTTTGAGGCCACTGATTATTTCTTTTGTGAGAAGTAATGCCCACTAATTTCAAACATTAGAGAGGAAACAGACCAATTTAAGTAAAATAATTCACAGAAAACCAATTAGCTGACAACTGTTTTGCTGAAAGCCAATTTGCCAAATGACCAATTTGCCTAAAGTTAATTTGCTAAAAGTCAATTTACTGAATGACCTATTCTCCAAATTATTGAGAATTAAAAATAATTTTTGGTTTCACCGCTATTCCCACTTCTGCCAGTACCCCTTGTAGCCACTTTTGTCCAGATAGGGTGTTTGTCTCTAGGGGTAAAACAGCTACAAACTGTGCCAAGTTCTGTTGCAAGGTATTTGTTTGTTGGCCCTAGGGTTTATGTTTTTAATTCTAGAGAAAAGGAAACTAAGGCTTACAAAATTTAATTAAGTTGCTTATTTAAGTCAATTACGAGTCTAGACTAGTAAGTACAGAGGTTTCTCTGGCTCCAAAGCCTCTGCTGCTATCAGCCATTGTGTCATGCATTGCTTGATCATCTGTAGTGTTTCAAACTGTGACCACACCGGAGAAGAACTCGCCGGAGAAAAGTCCTTAAAAACCAAAAGCTTTAATGAAAAGAAATAAATCCAAAAATATAAAACCAGTGTAACACTCTGTGAGGGCATGGGATATTTGGATTGATAATATTCTGTTTAATTACATGTATTATACATTGGTAGAGATATTGAAACATGATAACATGAAAATATACAGTTCCACATTTTTATGGGAAAGAATGAAACTTCAGTATGTTTTTAGGTTAATTTGAAAGACTGCTGAGCTTGAAGTCATTATTCAGATCAGGAGGAGGTCAGATTCAGAGTTTACTTTGAGCCAAGGTCCAGAATATATTTAAAATACTGAGAGAAGAAAATTATGAATTCATCTGAGAAATTTTATCGGCTATCAAACAAAATTATTACTAATAAAACTTTTGGGAATAACTCCTAGAAGCTGGGGTGGGAGGGTACCATTACTTTGAATTAGCCCATTGTCAGAATGGCATCTTCCAGTGGTTGGCAGTGATTATTATCTTACCTCGAAGATTAACAGCCTAAGGTACAGTTCAATGACCTCAGACAACTGTGAAACTGAGGCTGAGGTGATACAGATCTGATGGGCTGAGGCATCCTTGAACCTAGGAAAGCTTGTGTCGTTTTCCAACAGTAACTATAGTAGAAAAAGGGCTACTAACTCAGATTTAATGCCTATTCTTTGGCAAGGGAGGAGATTTTCTGGCTAAGTGGTTACTAGCCCTTTAAGAAAAAGAGAATTTTAGAAACTGTCTTCTGGAATTCAAGTGGGAAACAGGACTACTGCACTATATATTGCATTGTGTATATTGCTCTCTGTGATAGTTTTGAATGAATTAGAAAATGAAGCACCTTTGAGGCATATGTACAATTTGGCCCAGGAAATCTGGGCTGCACTTAGCTCCCCTGTTGTCTTGGCCGAGAGTGTTTGTACAGAGAACTGCTCTATACGTGTTTTTGAGTGCTGCTCAACCATGTTTTTCCTTTCCTATGCCAAAATTGTAACCAACAAAATTACCACACTAATTACAATCTAGTTTGTAAAAGATCTCCAATTCAATTCCTTTATGCTTGCCAAACATTTTATGATATTATTAAGTTCTAATTGCTTTCAAATTGCTGATTGCCTATTCTTTCTTCGCTATTCACATTTATTTTAAATTAAATAAATTTATTTTATAGTATATTGATATAAAAATGACTCACGATCAATACGTTAAAAAAGCACACGAAGTCAGAAAATGTAACACCAATATATTATCTAACACTCTGTGAAGGAATGAGATATTTGGATTTAACCACACTTACTACAATCTAGTTAGAATCTAAAAGAAAAAAGAAGGGTATCTCCCAGCCTGCATTCTCCTCTTCTAGAAACAGCTAATGCAGGGCTAGGCATTAGGGATTAAATAATTTGCTGAAGTTCTAATCAATGGGGGAAGGATGGGGTTGATCCTTTGACTTAGGGACCTGCTTTCTAAAACACAATTACCTATAATTGCTTTTATTAGCTTTATATTTCCTCCACATACTTTTTTCTTAAGCGTTTTCAATCTTTCCATTTTTTCCTTTGGATTTTTCTGTTATTGCCACAGAAAAATTTCATCTTTTATTCTCTCTCCCTTTTGCTAGTTGGGAATCCCATATGATCCCAGTCAAATGAGTACAAGAATAAAGCTAATGATATGTCTTCATTAAATAAAATGAAAGTTTTACCTTTTGTAGTGAAATTAGGCAGTATGGGGAAGCAATGACATCAACCCTTAAAACACCTTGAATCCTCTTCAGAATCTATAATGACATCTTCTGTCTCTCCCTTTTATAATTAAAAATTTAATTTACCTTACGCACCAATGTTCAAGGGAAATTTCTTATTAAATTTTATTGTACTTCTTATTTTTCAAATGTATAGCAACTTTTACCTCACTTTATATGAATGAATTTGAGTATTGCTTCAAACTTTTTTCTTAAGCTCAAATACCTCTTTGGAGTTTATGTGCATAAAGTATGGGATAGAATCATAAAAGTGGCTTTATTTCTATGTAGTTGATTGATTCGTAATAGTTTATTGCATTGCAGTCAGTATTGTATGCATTACGGGGCTATATTACACTTAACTGCTTTCTGTGTAAGCCCTCTTATGTCTTTATGTATTTAATTTTATTGCATTTCAGCTTTGTACTCTATGGCATGTCTATTTACAATACAGACTGTTGGCTTATTTTAACATAAATTTAATAAATTTTAAAATTTTGTTATATATGGAAATTGGATGTAAAAAGTTTTTGTAGTGACAAAAACTTTCTATTTTGTCAAAATAGGCATAGTTTTGATAAAGTGGTGTAACCCCTATTTTACAGACTTTATGATGGGTATTTAATAAATTTTACTAACTTCGTCAAAAAATTTCAGAATGATAAATTTTTACAGAAAGTGGGAGTAAAAGCTTCTATTCAACCCTGTCCCAGACTCAGATCACCTTTAGCTTTTGCTTTCCTATAGGAGAATTGAGAAAGGTGTGACCCAAGAAATGCTGGTCTTGGAAGAGCTGTTACTTCTCCTTAAAGAGAGAATGTGCTCTATAAACTAATATGGCTTACCACTCTACATTTCCTATATAGTAGAGAATGTGATAAAATATAATTACATACTGCTTTAAGATTAAATGTAAGCTTAACCTTAATTCAAATTTATAATGTTTAAATCCTGCAGTTTTCTTAAAGACATGCATTTATTGCCATAGATTTCACTTTTTTTTTTCATTTATTTTATTGCATTTTAGGTTTTCGGGTACATGTGAAGAACATGCAAGATTGTTGCATAGGTACACATGTGGCAGTGTGATTTGATGCCTTCCTCCCCATCACCTACATCTGGCATCTCTCCCCTTGCTATCTCTCCCCAACTTCCCAACCTCCACCGTCCCTCCCCTATTCCCCCCAACAGACCCCAGTGTGTAGTGCTCCCCTCCCTGTGTCCGTGTGTTCTTATTGTTCAACACCCACCTATGAGTGAGAACATGCGGTGTTTGATCTTCTGCTCTTGTGTCAGTTTTCTGAGAATGATGGTTTCCAGGTTCATCCGTGTCCCTACAAAGGACACAAACTTGTCGTTTTTGATGGCTGCATAATATTCCATGGTGTATATGTGCCACATTTTCCCTGCCCAGTCTATCATCGATGGGCAATTGGGTTGGTTCCAGGTCTTTGCTATTGTAAACAGTGCTGCAATGAGCATTCGTGTGCACGTGTCCTTATAGTAGAACAATTTATAATCCTTTGTATATATACCCAGTAATGAGATTGCTGGGTCAAATGGAATTCCTATTTCTAGGTCCTTGAGGAATTGCCCCACTGTCTTCCACAATGGTTGAACTAATTTACACTCCCACCAACAGTGTAAAAGTGTTCCTATTTCTCCACATCCTCTCCAGCATCTGTTGTCTCCAGATTTTTTAATGATCGCC